TCTCTCTCTCTCTCTCTCCCCTTTCCCTCTTCTTCTCCCTCTCCCTCTCCCCCTCCCTGAATCCTATTCCAAACCATCCCCTCATCCTTATCTTTGAACTCTTTCATCTATTCTCTCCCTTCAGGAAACAAAATATTCAAGTCCCTTCAATTCCAAAGAAAAGAAAAAGTTCTCACTTTATGTTTGATGGAATCACCTCTCTTCCATTCACGCTACACTTTCTGAAAGATCAATAGTCCTCCTTATGTTCCACTTACTTCTCAACACATTTTAACCTTACTCCTTTGAAACAGTTCTTGCCAATTGCACAAAACTGTCTGAGAAATTTAACTGTCAGTTATTTTACACTCCTTTTTTTCTCCCAACAGTTTGAGTGCTGACCACTTTCTTATAAGTAGTAATAATTATAATTTATTAAATATCTGTACTACTGTATAATTTACAGGCACTTCTCATTTTATTGTGCTTCACTTTGTTGTAATTTTCGGGGGGATTGAGGTTATTTTTGGTCTTTTGCAAATTGAGGACTTGTGGCAACCTTGCCTAGAGCAAGTTATCGACATCACTTTTCCAATAGTGTATGCCTGCTTTGTGTCTCTGTGTCACATTTCAGAACTTCTCATTATTATTGTATCAGTTATGATGATACGTGCTCAATGATGTTACTGTTGTAATTGTTTTGGGACACTGTGCACTGCACCCAGATGAGACAGCATACTGAACTGATAAATGTGTCTTCTGACGGCTTCACTGACGGCCCCTCCTATCTCTGTCCCTCTCCTCCGTCTTCCCTATTCTCTGAAACAAAACAGTATGTGAATTACACCAATTAATAATCTCCAACTGCCTCTATTTCAAATGAAAGGAAGAACCATAAATATCTCACTTTAAATCAAAAGCTACAAATGATTAAGTTTAGTGAGGAAGGAATGCCAAAAGCTGAGAGAGACCAAAAGCTAGATCTTAAACCATAATAGCCAAGTTGTGAATGCAAAGGAAAAGTTCTTGAAGGAAATTTAAAATGCTACCCCAGGAGCCAGGTATTTAGCTCAGAGGGTTCACTGCCTGCCTTGCAAGCACCAAGGTCCTGAGTTCAATCCCTAGTACAAAAAAAAAAAAAAA